TTATTGTCCACTCCTAATTAATTCACATTTTTAGGAATAAGTCTTTAACACAAACTGAGGGAGAAAAATGTAAATTTGGGCCGTCATCAAAAAAGAAAACTGACAGATCATGTTTATTACTTTTGAAGAGTTTTTTTATGGTACTGGTTTTCTTTTACTACCTTTTATGACCCTGCACACCTTGTCTAGATGAATACAAATATTTAGTTTAAAGACAGGATACAAAGATTATCTGAACAATGCATAACACTTCTCTGGATGTTGTTGGATATTTAAGCTTGACTCTTCAATGGTAATAATATCCTGTCAGAGTTTATATTGAAACCAACTAATTCATTTATCTGCAATTGAAGACTGAGAGGTCCCACTGTTGTAGGACTCAAAGCAGGTAAGGACTGAAAAAGAAAAAACTGTGTAAGATCTGAACTTTAAAACATGACAAAAAGTTTTTTTTTTTTTNGTGGCCTAGTGGTAAGGGAATAAATACTGCCTCTCTGGGTCCCTGAGCAAAGACCCCTTAACCCACACTGCTCCCTGGGTGCCGCACAATGGCAGCCAACTGCTCCCCAAGGGGCTGGGTTAAATGCTGAGAGTTCATTTTGTTGCTCTGTACTTGTGACAGTGAAATGAAAAAAAAAAAAAGCTGGAAAAAAAATGTAAGAGTTTCTTTACTCCAGTTAACAATTAGTCAATTGCTAAATTAGTTGAGGATTATTTCAATAATCGATTAATCCGATTATTTACTTCAGCCTCCATTAAATCCTTGGAAAGACCGCCTATAATGCCCAAACCAAAATCCTGTTAAAACTTATGAAAATCATTTTACTATATTTATAAAACCGCTTTTAAAGATTACTGTAGAAATATTTGTGTTACAAAAACAAAATACATAAAACTTAATAAGACCCCGAACATGAGTCAGTGACATATACTCTAATGTATATTAAAATCTAAAAAAAAATGGGTTTAAAAGTCATGCTATGTCCAGACCATAATGCTGAAAGCAGCAAAACAGCTTCTGCTACATTTTTTGTGCTTGTTTACATTAAGGTCAGAAACGTGTAAAGAGCAGCTTTGACGCTCCTGAAGCGCGTCCAGTAAAGTGTGTCCAGATGATTCTGCTACTCCTGTGTTCAATGGCAGAGAGCAGCTTTACTATATTTACTGTGTGTTTACCAGTGGGTGAAAAGTAGTTTTAATGTTTCTAAGCGAGAAAGTCAACCTGAAAACTTAATCTGTGTAGTCAGTTCATAAAGATTATGATCCTGCTTTTAAATATAATTTCACTGTTGCAGCCTCTCAGACCCCGTACACTGGCGCTGCGTTGGGAATCCCTTTCAACAGCAGCCTCCGGCCCACTCACCAGCGTTCTCTGCTACTGTTCGTGGCGGCTGGAAGGCATTTTTCTATGTAATCCAAATTGCCGGCAGGTTTTAACATTTTAAGATAATTTAGGCTTTGAAAAACTGTTTCAGGGGAGTGATCATAGCGATCTGCATCAGCAGCGCTGTGTCTGTCTCCCTGCCAGCTCCTAGATCAGCTTCTCTGGTGTGTTCTGATGTGGAAGCTCGTGACATGCTGCACTCAGACACGCTGCAGGACCTTTTGCTGCTTCTTGATGTGAGTCAAACATTGACTTTGAAAGTAAACTAGCTCCTTCTGCTGGATCTAGCTTCATAGTTCCTGAATAATGTTCTTATTTATAGTGATATGGAATTATTGTCCACTCCTAATTAATTCACATTTTTAGGAATAAGTCTTTAACACAAACTGAGGGAGAAAAATGTAAATTTGGGCCGTCATCAAAAAAGAAAACTGACAGATCATGTTTATTACTTTTGAAGAGTTTTTTTATGGTACTGGTTTTCTTTTACTACCTTTTATGACCCTGCACACCTTGTCTAGATGAATACAAATATTTAGTTTAAAGACAGGATACAAAGATTATCTGAACAATGCATAACACTTCTCTGGATGTTGTTGGATATTTAAGCTTGACTCTTCAATGGTAATAATATCCTGTCAGAGTTTATATTGAAACCAACTAATTCATTTATCTGCAATTGAAGACTGAGAGGTCCCACTGTTGTAGGACTCAAAGCAGGTAAGGACTGAAAAAGAAAAAACTGTGTAAGATCTGAACTTTAAAACATGACAAAAAGTTTTTTTTTTTTTTAATATTACGACATTTGTGTGTTTGTGCAGCATTGTTTAATTTTTTTTTTAGTTAGCTTTGTTATTGTTTAGCAGAATTTCTCTCTATTTTATGTGAGGTGTTTAAGATCACCTTAATTCAGGTTGGATAAAACCTGTCCAATCTGAGCTACCGAAGCAGCTCCGCCCTGTTGGAGCATCAGCATGATTTTCTTTTAAACTCCCAATTCCAATCTGAGGAGAGACTCTCAAACAAATATGTTACAACGAGGACTAAATTTAAGAACCCGTGTCTGCATTTTTATGCAGCTACGAAAACAAATCTGATGTTGTTATGTAAAAAAATGCAATTAATTTTATATTTTAGGGGCAAAATAGGGATGTCCTGATACATATTTTTCAGTTCTGATACAATTCTGGTTTTGCAGCTTTGAGAATTGACCGATACTGCTATTAGCACAAATCATTCATACTGTACTTAATTACTCATTTTGCAGTGAAGAATATTAGAATTAATCAACAGAGACTAGCAGTCAACAACAATAAGTGACCCATGTAGTATTACCATTGGGTTACATTAAATTTAGGGGGAAAAAACGTCTTTTCCCTAAAAAGAGTCATACCTGCAGACTGGTATACCTTCTGGACAGATAACTGTTTTTTCATAAATAGATGTGATTTAAGTTTCCTCCCTAAATATTTTTCTGTACTATTCCAAAGACATTAGTGGTTTTAGACCCAAGCGTTCAGATCTTGTGACCCACCTAACAAAAGGTATTTTCCAGTTAGACAGAAGAATGCCCCGAAAGACAAAATCTAATTAAAATCTAAGAGATTGATTTGGTTCTGCTGGGAAGTGGAAGTTCTTGCATAAAAGGCAGCGTGGTTGAACGCCCTTTTATGACTCAATTTTGGTTTTATGTATAGATTTCACCAATCGAACCATTACTTTATAGAGCGTCTAATAAGCATAATAGGTCATGCCAGGATTGGCATGTTTATAAATTGTGGATCTGAATACATTTCAACAATGATCAAATGCATTCCAAAACAAATAAACAAACAAAAAAAGAAGTTAGACAGACCTATTCTAAGGTCAAAATAGTAGCCTACTACAACCTTCCAACTTTAGCTACATTGCTTAAGATCAGTGTGAATTTTTTCAGAGTTTACAAAAAATGTAAGGTAGACCACTTCCTGGATATTCAAAGAATGTGTACAGGAGGAACATGTACAAGAGGAACACCTACAGCGAGAAGGTTTACATGAGGAACATGTGCAGAAAGAATATTTATAGGAGGAACAGGTAGGTAGGACCTTTGAAGCCGTGAGCCATGAAAACATAACAAAAGCAGATTCTGAGACTGCAAATCACCTGTTTTTGCACCGAACTAACCTGATCGCCAGGTTAGTTCGGTCGTAAAAAAAAAAAACAGCTTTTACCAGTTGGGAATTTTATCAAAAGTGAAAGGGTACCTGACACACAGACATCTGGAGCCTGTAATCCATCCCGGTTATTTTAGAATAGATTGTAAAATTGTTTTGTTTGTTTTTAAAGCTCTTAATGGTCTAGCCCCCCCAGTATTTGACTGACCTTCTCCAAATCCATGAACACGATCAGAACACTGAGATCCTCTAATTAGTTGCTACTGGTCATGCCTAAAACCAGCGTTACAACCAAAGGTGATGGTGCCTTTATGGCAGTGAGACTCTGGAATAACTTGCCTTGGCATATTCGACCAGCAGGCTCCTTTTAGGTTTTTAAATCCTCTCTAAAAGCACATTACTTCTCCCTGGCTTTTAATCAAGTCTAAGGGGACATTTGGCAAAATTTTATTTAAAATTCAAACATTTATCCTATTATATTTTATCTCCTTTCAGTTTTTCTTTTTGTATTGTGTTGATGTATTTTAGCTTTCAGGTTTTTTTTTTTCTTATGCTCTGCAACTGTGATTCCTGTACAGCACTTTGGTCAACCCCGGTTGATTTAAATGTGCTTTATAAATAAAGTTTAAGTTGAGTTGAGTTAATTTAGAAACTTATTAGGGATATCCCTATTCGATATTAATATCAAATATCGGTCCCATTTTAGAAGAAAAACTATTATCGTATTTTATCGGCTATAATCTCTATAATCTAGTCTCATGCTGATAGAAGCACATGTTTCTTTACTTTACTGCTTAATTTTCCATGGGTTACTTGTATTCACACCTTTTATTGTTGACTTTTGCTCCCCCTTTTAATAATATTCCTTAATGTAGCCTTTTCTAACAACAAACCATACGAAACAAGCAAAAAAAGCTGGTTGATTCCTGCTAATATTATATCGATCAATATCGGTATTGGCCAATTCTCAAAGCAGCAATATCGTTATCCTATCGGAAAGGAAAAAGGTGTTTCGTGACCCCCTAAAATTTGTGTATACTTCAGTTTAGTTATTTTTAAAACCATGGACTTTAGGTTATTTTAAAGGAGTAAGGAAAACAGATCTGGTGAGAAAAAAATAAATAGAGACAATTTAAGGAAGTCATATGTCATACATTGGATAACAATGACTATCTGGTTGGTTACAGTAAATAATGAAGCACAAAGGAGACACAAAGGACAAAGGAGAACATGGAGTTTGACTAAAACAAATCTGTTTTGCCTGATTTCACTCAAAATAAAGACAAAGCTGAGAATTAAGAGCAAGTAACTATTACTATGACATATATAAGGGTGAATCCAACCTCCCTCCCAGTGATGAATATTCAATGGACTAAGCCCCTAATGGTGATGCAATGTCCTGCTGTTAGTGAGACCCCTTAATAACTAAGGGTTGATTTTATTAAACATATAAAACCTACCTGCTGCACAGAGACAACAGTCTCTGCCTTCATGCTTGTAGGTCCCATCTTGACAACCTTGCCTTTTCACACGTAGATGTGTGCCATTAAAGACCGGGGATGAAATCGAAACACTGTAAAAGAAAAGTGATGAAAAGTATTTTTCTTTCCGTCCATCTATTAAATCATATATCTCAATAAACTATTTTTCTTATATTTGTTGTTATCCGTCTTCTAAACCAACCAATGGCGTTGCTTACGGGCCCCCATCACTGACACTTGGTATGCCCCATTGGCAATAGTGGAAAAAGACGTTTGATTGATGGGGTATCACTGATCGATCGAACCTTATTTATACCCCAACAAATGGCAGAATTCAAACGGATGGTGATGCGTTTAAACACGATACCAATAGCAAAGCAGACAGTGGTACTTTTATTTACTATGTTAGTCGGTTGGTAAAAAAAATACACCCATATAATATGTTTCAAACCGCAATAAAGATCTTAAAAGAACGATGTATTTGAGTATTTTATTAGCACAATACGGCTTGGAATTATGGGTAAAACTAGGCTGTTGTTCTGACTTTTTAACTCTTGAAAATGCAAACGGGCCACACCTTGTTTAGACACAAATAACTAGAAACGCTTTTGTTCTTTGCCTATAAGACAAATCCAAATTCCTTCCTAAGACTATAAACATTATAAAGGATTTAGAAGAGCGAACTGATAATATATGACCGCTGTCATAACAAGGTGACTAAAAAGAAAACAAACAAAGCGAGCGAGTGGAAATGCCGCGTTAGTGTAAATATGTAGCTTTACTTACTTTATTAAGCAGAAAACGCCGATTAAAAGAAGAATTAAACCTTTGGAAACCCGATTAGATGAGAACGCCATGGTTAACTCCAGACCTAACTAGTTATTTAACAGTCGGACTATTTCCGCGTCACTTTTTGTCCCCACACCCACACCCACCGAACTGTTACTTTCGCTTTCGAAACTTCATCTTTCTTTTCCTTTTTAAGTTTATTTTTACTTCTTAAAACGTAATATTGGTTTGTTTATTGTGGTTTTTATCATTATTTTGTTGTTGTTTAACTTTTTTTTTGTTGCTTTTTCAAAATCGAAAAATATCAAATATGTTTTATGGCTTGTTGTGTTTTTTTCTGACTTGTTTATATTACAGTAAGATGAGGTGGAAAATCCCAAACAAACCCATCAACACTCGGGTTTTTCACTAGACCTCAATATGAATCTCTCTTCCACCGTATAGTACAAAGGTGTTTTTCACAATGATGGAAGCCTACAGTAAATTAAAAAGCCTACAGTAAATGAAAAAGTGTTTCTGAGGAAGGTTCATACATAAAAAAATAAAAATAAATAAAAAAACAGAAAACAAAATAGCAACTTGATTTTTCTACAACTAAAGATACATTTTACTACTATTACTAAACTCAAAATAAAATAGAAATATATATTTTTTTATACCATCAAACTAATCAAAACTTTTGTAGTTTTATATTCTTGCTCTAAATCTTGATAGTAAAAATACACGCATTTTAAAATATATATTTTTAATTAGCAAATATATTTTATATTTTATTTATAATACTGTATATATATTTTTTAATCACCAAGTTATAAAACAACGCAATAAAAGTGCCGTTTTAATGCCTGAAGATGCTATACTCCACTTCCTCCACTAGATGGTGGTGTTGTACCTTTAGTTTTATAGCTGCTGGAAGGCTTATTATTGCGAAAGAGGAGTAGGGCCACCGAAAAAATAATAATTTTTTTTTTTTTTTTTT